GTCCATCCGTGTACCATGGACCAGCGGAGCCGCCCGCCTCCGCCGCATGACCGCTCTCAGATTCCACGGGACCGATCCCCTGTGGCTAGGGTACGCGCCCCTAGCTCCCCCCGCTTCCTCTCGGGCCGCTGCTTCAGACAGTCTATGCGCGTCTCCCCTCATGGCCATGCGGCATTTCGCGTGCCACCACTCCGCCCTCCCCGTCCCCCACGCCCCAACCCTCTCAATCCACCCGGGGCCACCGAGACCCTCTCTCACTTCAATAAGGCCCCATTCGTCGTTCGCAGAACATTTGTTAAGAGATGTTATGGCATCGGATTGGCAGTGTGCTCCACCTTGCGCACCGCTACCCGTAACACCGTTGAGGTCAGCCATCGAGGGTGTCTCACAGTTTAGTGTCACTTTTTACTCGCCACACGCAATGTAGCTGGGCTGGGGGCTATGTCAAAGGTAATCGAGCTAGGGAGTAGCAGACTCAGAGCACAAGACTGAGGCCGTGGACTTGCACGATGTGCGGCTCAGCGCGCCTGGAGCGTGATGGACAGTGCCGATGCCGTCACGACATATTTGAAGTCGAAAGCAGACCCGCACTAAATTCGCTCCAACCAATTCCACCCCACAGTAAAGTAGCCGTCGTCCGGGGCCACAGTCGGCAACAGAACCTGTGCTGTACCAAAGCGGCCAGTACAAACCACGCCCACAACCGCGGCCAGGGCTCGGCGAGACGCCGCGAATCGGCCGCGAGCAGTCAGCCACCGGACTACCCAACAGCCAAACCGCCCACAGGGCCAACCAGCTCACAGCAAGGCGTCACAGCCAACCGCTCACAGCCAACCGCTACACAAGCCCAAACCGCTCAAGCCAACCCGTCACCAAGAGCCACCGCCACAGCTAACCAGGCCCACAGCCTAATCCGCTCACGACCATTATTATTATTATTATTATTATTATTATTATTATTATTATTATTATTATTATTATTGTTATGATCATTATTTTTATTAATGTAAGTGTTGTAATTTTTGCAATTATTGACATTAACTGCCACCGGGTCATACCCAATTGCAGTTCTAATAAATGTATAATGTATAGAGTGCGTGGCTGGCGGTGGGTTTTAGACGGTTGGCGGCGGCAAAGACGGCATTGGCGGTGGCGGCGTCGCTGCTGTGTGCTGTGTAGCGGGCGTCGTAAACCTTGGGGAAGAAGAGTCGCGCGCGCGGTGAACACGCGAAGCCGAGGCCTCTGCGGCGCTTTCTTCTTGATGGCGCCGCAAACAAGCGTCGCCGCCGCTGCTCCTGCCAGTACGCGGAGATGCAGCCGAAGCGCCCACCCAGCGCATTCAAGCAGGAGGGGCAGCCGTGACAACTGCCTTCAAACGCAAGACTCGAATGTTTTTTGTTGTTTTTTTTAGAGCAACTTGTAGGTATTTAGCGACCACTATTGGATAGAACGTAATTGTAACTGTGAAGACATGAAAGGGGTGAAAAGACAAACGTAGATTCAACCACGTCTGAGGCGGGACTCGAATCCACGATCCATTAGCCCGAGATCGCTACGGCCTTACTACTGCCTTGACGATCTCGGCCATCCGGACGACTCAAGTGGGTTTGTGTAATCACATTTAATGTATAAGAATAAAGTATTGCCTGGGAGGATATTTGGACGTAAATGACAAAGAGCAGCCTAAAACGTGCAAAGTTGATTCGGCTAATATATATATTTTTCAACACATTTATTTTGTATTGTTCGTATAAGTATTCGAGGCATTTTGCCTGCAAGCCCATTGTTTAGAGAAATTTGAATTTTACAAACACTTTATATGAGCTGTAATT